GTATTCTTAAATCTTTATAATCTGTTAATATCTGCTTAATCGATAATCTAAAACTGTTATATTAGATTATTTAATGATTTCTGTAGTAATAGATAAACCTTATGTTGTTTTTAAATTAGTAAATTTTTAAGTCAGGTTAAGTAGGTTTTTAGTTCATTTTAATTTCTTTGTTTAAGTCCTTTGTTAATTGTATTTAAAGTGTATTAATCTGTAATTTTTATTTTGAAAAATAAGAAGTTGATGCTCTTTTTGAGGTCAAACCTTCGGTAAAGATCAAACTCTTGATATAGTTGGTGTTTACCTCCTAAACCCTTGCATCTCACACAGTCAACTTTATGCTGCATGTTCAAGAACAAAATTGTTTAATATCTTATTTTAGAGAAATTAAAGAAAATCTATTTGCTTTTATAATATAAAAGACAAGGTCATTTGATTGTTTGTTTTTTTAAAGTTGATAAACATTTATTACAAGGTATGTCATTAAACAGATATTACAAAAATAAAGTTGTATTTGTTAATGTTTCTAATTTATATATTTTTCCTAATTTATATATTTAATTATATTTATGTGTTTTTTATTATGTGTTTATATGTGTTTAGGTTATATGGGTTTATATTTTGTAAGTGTGTAAATATCTTTCATATATGAAGTGTTTTTATGTTTGTGATATGTTATGTTACATGCTTATATTTTGTAAATTGTTATCATGTTTTTTGCATGGTTTCAAATTGTTGTGACTTGGCTTAGTTTACAGCAAGAGTGTTAACCTTGCTAGCCAAATGGTGAACTTTGCTATAATGTGACTAAAAGAAATGTTGAAAAGATATATAGTTTTTTAATATCTATAATTCTTTTTATATTCATTACTTTAAGTAAATTTTATTGAAAAGATATATACTTCATTAAATATTTATATACTGTTACTTTTTAAGTAAATTTTGTTGAAAAGATATATACTCTGTTCCTTTTTGTTAACATTTTGTATATTGTTAATTTAAAAAAATATTTGTTTAAAAGATATTTTAAATTAAAAAAATTTTTTGTTAACAATTTATGCTTTTGAAAATAAATAAATTTTGTTTAAAAACGGGCTTGCTATTAATAAATAACTTCTCCCCAATTAAACGTTTAAGAGTTTCTATTTCCTTCATTAAATATGTTTAACTTAAACTTACTATTTTTTTATAAAGGTAAGTATACAAAGTGTTATAACATAAGTTTTAATAACTTTCATTAAGTTTTTAGGATTTTTTGTATAGAGAATATTTTTTCCATAATAATATTTTAGTGTTTGTTTTATTTTCTTACACGTTATTTTAGATAATTTAAGAAAGAAAACTAAAAGTTTGATCTTAAAATAAAAGTTCAACTTTTATTATATTTAGCATCATTTTTTACACACTCCTTAGATGCTCAACCTTGTCTGATGAATTTAAGAAGTAAAATTAATAGACTTTATCAAAATGAAAGAAACCAGGCTAGGTGAGATCAATTGAACCGTTGCCAAATTGAAAGAGATGAGCTTAGGCTAGCTGAGATAAATTATTGTCCAAATCAAAGATATGAGCCTTAGTGAGCTGAGATAAATTGCCGTCAAAATGAAAGATATCAGGCTAGACAAGAACCCAGTAAGTATAAATGCATCGCATGGCAAGAAATAATATTGCTATAAGGAGTAACTAACTCTGAGAATTAAACCATATTTTTCAGTATTGTAACGTGAAGTTTTTAAATAAAACTTATTTACCATCTGCCATTCAGGAAAAGTTGTATTGGCTCATCTTTCTTCGTATCCACCATTTTTGATCGATTTATAGTGTCATGTGATGTGGCAATGTGTTTTTATTATGTGTTATATAAAGCTATATGGGTTTATATTTTGTTAGTGTTTCTATGTGTGTACTGTTAGTAGTTAAAATATGTACAATAAACTCTGGATAACTCCATAATCCTTAATAACTTAAACTAATTTTAAAGTTTTGTTCAAGCCTTTATTTATGGATTATACTCCCAATAACTCTAACTTTCTCCAACAAGCTGATTTCTTGATCCCTCTGAGGTTTGAGTAATTTAGAGTTTACTGTAATATGTTATGTTATTTGTTAATTTTTTGATGTTATGTTGTTTTGTGTTGATAGATGACTTGGTTTACTTTCAAGTTAATGTCTTTAGTGCAAAATGATTATTGGGTAGTTTCATTACTGAAACAGACTACATATAGTCATTCACTAAAAGCTAAGTATTCAGTTTTCAAATAAAAACAAAGGATTATCTTATTGTGATCATTTATTTTTAACCTTGGTTTTTTTAAAATAAGTTGTTAATCCAAACTTAAAAAAAAAAGTTTCTTATTTGTTATCTGCTTAGTCACATTTTTAAGTTTTCAAATAAATAGATTACATAACAAACTAATGTGTATTAAGCATATTCAAATAATAATTTTGTTCCATTTTTAGGTCAAATTTCTTTTCTTTTTGATTTTTGAAGGTTCCTACATAGCAGAATTTAAGACATGTTCTGAATGTTGATTGTATTAAAAAAGCTAAAGTGAAGTTTGATAATCTATACACCATTTACTAAAAGCTGTTATATAGAAAAATAAAACAATGTTTCAATTAAAATTTTTTTAATAAGTATCCCAGCTAGCACATTTACATTGGGCCAACGTATGTAAAACTATCGCGAACGTCTGCTCTTTTTTCCAATGCAAAACCAATGTTGATCCAATGTTATTTGGTTAATGATTAAATTATTACCATCGGAACTAAAAACATCTGGCAAATTTACATTGGTCCAATGTATGTAAAAACATCGCAAAAAGTTGATTGTTTTTACGATCTAAATCCAATGTTGATCCAATGTATATATTTTGATGTTGATTCAATCTATATAAATTAACATTTTTCCAATGTATGGAAAAATATCAAAAAAACTTTGATTGTTTTTATGATTTAAACCCAACGTTGATCCAATGTATACATATCAACATTGATTCAATGTATATAAATCAACGTTTTTCCAATGTATGTAAATACATCACAAAAAAGTTGATTATTTTTACGAACTAAACCCAACATTGATCCAATGTATGCGACCAAACATTGCTATTGCGAAATTATATAACTTAAATAAAATCTTCCATAAATATTAAAAATCTAACCACAATTAACACAAACATGATTTTCGTTCCGATGATCAAGCGTTTACAACTTTATATATATATATATAATGTTTACGTCAGCTGTATATATATATATATATATATATATATATATATATATATATATATATATATATATATATATAAAGAATATAGAATTTTATGAAAATTTAATTCCGAATAATATTGAATACAACATTTTGCCAATTAAAGTTCAACATTGAATCAACGTAAATACAACGTTGTAACAACGTAAAATACAAGGTTGGGCCAACGTATAAAATAAAACGTTGAATCAATATAGAAAATACAACCATTTTCCGACTTTAAATAAACTTTTTATCAACATTGGTTTTTAGTTGTAGTCGACGTCGCATTTGTAATCATAATGATATAAAAACAATGCTGGCAGTCAATGTTGGGCCAACTAAACGCATAACATTATTTTAATATTTTAACAACGTATGTGTGCTAGCTGGGATTTTTGATACTTTTTTATGTTGAATATAATATTTTTTGTAATTTTTTAAAAAGTTTATATTTTTATTTTATCTAAAGAAAAATGTTTTTTGTTTCTCAAGTAAATTTTTATATTTTTTTTATCTTTGGAATTATTGTTTTGAATGGATATATTGGCCATTTTTGCTTTGTTTTTTATATATCCGTTATTTTTTTATATGTGAAAGGAAACCATTTATACTTTTATCACCTTTTGTATGATCTAAATGGTTTCCATTTGCATTTCCAATTGCACAAACAACAGGTTTAATAATTTATTTGCCTAATTTGGCAGTTACAACAGCTCAATTGAATCAATTTGTTAAGAGTTTTTTTTTACAGAAAGACTTTTATAAAAAATATCAAACAGATAAAGTTAACTTATTTGAAATAACTAGGTCTCTTCAGCCCATTGTTTCACGTTCAAATTTGCATTTTAAATAAATCTTAATGAGAGGGTTAAAATATTATTATTATAGCCTAAGTCTCCAAAAACACCTCAAGAAATGTTATGCAAATGATTTATATGTTAATGATGTTTTTATTATGTAAAATATATTTAAGTAAACTAGTACAGTTCTAAAGTATAGTAAAGTACAGTTCTAAAGTATAGTAAAGTGATTGTTAACCAAAAGCCAAAAACTTTAAATCAATTAAATTTTTTCCATTTACTAAAATAAATTAAAGTATAGAGCCTAAATTAAGAACAAGTTTAGAAATAGTCGGGTTTGGAACAGACCACAACCCGTATCATATGGGTCATGACAGCTAGTTAAAAATTAATTTCTGAGCTCATGTTTAATCAAAAAAGTTTACAACAAATTATTGCAAGTTAAGTTCTTTTCAACAATGTTATCAAAATATGCATTTAGAAAAGATTTTGTTAAATAATAGGGAGGAAGTAAATCAAATTTGCCTGAAAATTGTATGTATGTATGTATGCATGTATATACATATGTATATGTAAGTTGCCAAATATACATATGCATATGTAAATTGCCAAATAAAATTTACAATATTTTTTGAACGTGGAATACTTAATTAAATCTCTAAGTATATAATAAAAAAAATCATCTGAATTTATACATTATACATTATTTATAATTTATACACTATTATTTATAATTTATACACTATTATTTATAATTTATACACTATTATTTATATTTATACATTACTATTTATAATTTATACAATTATAATTATTAATTAATTTATACATTATTATATTTATAATGTCCACCTAATAATCAATATTTAAATAAATTAAATAATATTTTAGATACATTCAGAGAATAACAGTTATTAGGAAGTGAATATTTAGCACAGGTTTTAAATTACCTTCTGTGATTTAATGCCATAAGAAGTGATAACCATTCATATTTTGACTTTTCATCTTTGCAAGAAAAAACAGCTGCTGGTTCACCTGGTTGCAATATTTCAAATGAAAACTGCTTATCTAAAAAAATATATAAATATATATAAATAGTAAACAAAATTAATCATTAAATTAGTTTTCCTGTGTTATACATAATTATATAATGATTATAATATTTATAAACTGTTTATTTGTTATTTATACTGTTTATTTGTTTCCTTTTTCTTTCTTCTTTTTTTTATGCTACATTTATTTAGGGGAGAAAAAAATATATACACAGTATGCAAAAAATCACTAAAGTCACAAAATAACTTTTTACCCCAAACATGAAATAAATATCACATGGTCGGGGAAAAGGTCAATTTACTCCTTATTGTAATTGGAAATTTAGTTATTTCAGTAAAAATAAATCTCATAAAGAATAATAAAATAATATTTGAGATAGAGCACTAATAAAAAACATATATTGCAGTGATATATAACTTTTTAGATCTGAAAAACTCTTTTAAAATGAGGAATTTCCTAAAGAATTTTATAACTCTAGGATTGCCAAGTCCAGGAGCTTATAAAATGTTTTTAACTTTTAACTAACTATATGATAAACATATTTAAAAAGTATTAAAAAATAAACATACATAAGTATACACCTATAAATATACACATTTATACAAAACTAAACTTTATTTGTATGCATAAGTATATATACACATGTAAATATATAGATTAACATTTCTTATGAGATAACTATAAACAAAAATTTTGTAACTCATTAAAAACCTTACACAAATGTATGCATGCAAGCATACATAAAAACATACATACATACAAATCCTCATATAAATTCTTTTTTATTTAACATAAATCTATTGTTCAATGATAGACATTACTGATTTTACATGTTTTGCGGTTACAACATTTTCATTTTGAGCAAAATAATTTTTTAAACGCAAAAGCAGAATAGTAAAAATAACAGAAAGATAACAAACATTTGAAAGTCATGCATAGGAACTGTGACATGACAAGTGATGTGATATGATAAGAATCAGAACAATGCTTTTGCTGGATTAATTTTTCAAACATCTCAATCGTGCTATTCTTTTTTCAACTGGGTACTAAGCATTGGTGCGTATGTAAACACAAACATGACACTTAAATGTCATGTTTGTGTTTATATACCCTCCCTCCCCTCCTAACACCTATTAATCAAGCATAAGATTTAGCAGTAACCCCTTCCCCTCTTTAATTACATAACATGTATACAATCTCATACAATTATTAAAAAAACTGCATTCTTGCAAATTTAAGATAACAATGTGCTAGAAAGGAACAAAATTCAGCTTTATAAAATGCCTTAAAAACCAAGTTAAATATATAGATAATATAGATGTATAGAAAATTGGGAGTATATCATATATTGAGCCATCATCCAACATGAGTCAACAATAAAAACAATATTTTGTGTTACCGATTTTAGAAATTATTGACCGATTCTCAATAATATGAACAAAACTACTCTATTATATTATCATAAAAAACATTAATAAAATTGTTTAAAATATTAAAATGTTTTATATTTTCAATTTATTTTGAGAAACTTGATTAAACTAAGCACAAGTTATTAAACCTGACTGTATATTTATTATTAAAAAATAACTATAAAAAAGTTTTTTTTTTTAAATTTTAATTCACCTCCCCAAAAAAGAATTATTCTTAGAAAAAAAAAAAATGAGAAACCCTGCAATCAAATAGTGCAGCATAATTGCACTACTTTGCAATTATACTGCACTTTTGCCAGGGTGTAAACCAGGAATAAATTTGATACAGCGTTTTGACGAAATTGGGAATATGTCAGAATATTTTCTAATTTCCCCACTCTCTCCTCCCCCACCCCTCCTAACCCTCGCTGAGATTAAAATGTCTTTGTGGGGTCTTTTTATTTTTTATGTACATGGATTTCTTTTAATAAAAGCAGTAAAGAAAATTTTACTGCTATTTTCCTTGTTAAACAAATTTCTAGTGCCTGTTAGTTATAATCATAAAACATTTAATATATTTAACTTATATTTCAGCGGCGTTTTTTTAAAAAACTTAGGAAAAGGGCACGTAGGGGCACCACTTTTTTTCTAAAGGAATTTTTTTTTTTTTTTAGAAAATCCTAGATATATAGGACTTTTTCCAAAAATTGACGATAGTGCCCTTCCATTTCGAAACCCATATCGTCAGCCATGATAAGTTATTTGAATTTTCAGCCAAAATAGGTGAAACTTTTAAAGAAATGGCATTCGCGGATGTTAGATCAAACATATTTGTTATTTTTTTAGATTTTACCTTATTTCTTGCTAATTTTTTTAATATAATATTTGTTGTTATTTGAAGGCTTTGCAAAGAATTATGAGCAAACTTTGATAAATGAATTTTACAAATAAGTTGCCGAGAAAATCCCTAAAATTGCTGGGAAAATCCTAACTCTCAAGAAGTTTTTTCCAAGAGACATTTTCACAGTTAAGATGAGTTTCCACTCATCCGTTCTTCTACGAAATTGGGATAAGAAAGGGTAAAATAATCAAGTAAGCATGCATAGTTTTACTTTGGACAAATTAAAACTTTTAATACACATGCCCACATGATTATTTTTTCCCTTACCATTCTAGTGAAAAAACGTATTTTATAACAATTAATTATTAGTATTTAATTAAACAATTAATTTACTATAATTTTGAAAATTATTATTAAATTTAATTTATGAATTAGCAAACTTTATTAGGAGAATGGGATTTTTTAAATTTGGAATTTTAATCTTATGAGCATTTGGGGAAATTGCATTTGACAAGACTCCACAGGGCTAGTTTAAACCCTGATTTCAGTAAACTGTACTTGAAGAATATTATTATGTAGGCATAGCACTTAGTATAAATGGTTAAAATTATGTTTGGTATTACACCAATCATAGTACTCACTATTGCATGAAAATTAACTAGCCATATATAATTGGAACAATGTTTTATTGAACACAACATTGTGCCTCATAGTCAATGTTTATGTGGAAGTTTGTTGCAATTATCTTGATGGAATATACCCAGAGTTGGTACCAGATTCATGATAGATGATGGTTGCAAATCTTCTAACATATATATATATATATATATATATATATATATATATATATATATATATATATATATATATATATATATATATATATATATATATATATATATATATACATATATATATATATATATATATATATATATATATATATATATATATATATATATATATATATATATATATATATATATATATATACATATATATTTTACTATCAGACATTCATTACACAGTGCTTTTTAAAATAATGGCACAGAACACCAAAATAATGCATAGAGCAGTGCAAGATGCCTTAAAGAATAATAAATGTGTTAAAATATCCTGAGTCTTGATTTTGACAATAAAAATAATAGTTTTTTTAATCACTGAAAAAGTTTATAACAATTACTTTTATTATATAAAACTCATCTCTCCATAATTTCGCTATTTTTTGACTTCTTGTAGAAGATCCAGCTAAAAAGCATTTTCTGCCATGACCTAATCTTGCAATCATTTTGTCACTTACGAACACAATTCCTAAGCCGTTGCTTACTTGTAATCTTGACGGCGTTAAAAATTGGGTTGTCACTTTCAAAAAAGGCTTGTCATTGTTTGTGCTCAATTATTTATAATAGCTTACAAAATATTTTCTCAATTTCCTATCAATGCATCCATGCATTATGAATTTCCAACAAATTATAAAGTTGTATCTATCTATATAAATACTTGTTATGTACCTTGACCATAATAAATTTGGTCAAGATAAATAACAAGATTGTCTTGAAACCAATGCTTTCCATCCCAATACTGTATTCCTTTTGAATCAACAAATCTAAAACTATAAATAAATGATATCAAAACTAATATCTGTTAGTAAATTAAAGATTTTATTTAGGTGAAAAATTAGACAAAAAAGTATAAATTCTTATCAGTTTTCAAGCTCCTTTTTTTGATACTTATAGGCAAATTTAGACATTCCATCAACAATAAAAATATTTTAGCTTTAATTTGTATTTTTAATGATTTACAATGCTAAAACTTATCCACAGCATTTGTAGCTTTTTCAGCTGGGACCTCCCTATTCATATTGGACCATTAGTTTTCTCCCCAGTAAAAGCAGCCATAAAGTGAAATACATGTACTTCATATAAACATCATTTGACGAGCTCACTGAGACTGCAAGCTGTTCAATATTTTGAATAATATCTGTTCCATTAGTTTGGTATCCAATTAAAACCTTGCTAACCTTTTAGATGCTTTATGATTAAAATGTACAAATTTTCCTTCACATTCTACATAATTAAATGTTTAATTAAAATTTTACATATTTAAAAATTTGATGATCCACGATTGAGATATACAAATTTTCCTTCACATTCTATAATAAACATTGTTTTATTAAGTATGCTATGGAACAGTGGTATATAGTCCATTTTTAAAACTCCAGCTTTAAAAATCTAACCTAAAACTGCCAAAAGGAAGTATTATAATAACATTGAATTTTGTTGAATTTTGTTGAATAACATTGAATTATATTACATCTAATTATTTATAATAAATTAATTTTCCAGAAAACAATTTTTGTTTTTAATAAATACAGCTCTCTCATTGAAATTAAATTATATTACATTTTTTTATCTCTCATTGAAATTAAATTATATTACATTTTTTTATCTCTCAATATATATAGCTTATTATTTTTCATATTTAAAGCAAATACTCTTCCACTGGAGTTAACATCAACCTTTGTTTTCAATCATTTCTTCTCTAACTTCTAATTTTCATAGAACCTACAAAAGATTTAAACCTGTTAAGATATGTATAAATCAAGTTCAATTTGTCCTTCAGCAAGATGATCAAACAGGGAGAGAATTTAATATACACCCTTACAGCCCTTGGAATTAGGGTCAACATTTGGCAATGCCAAATTAAAAGTTTCTTTTTGGTTGGCGATTTTTTACAGACCTCTTTTCTATGTTGTTATGGTAAAA